GTATTTCTGTACATTTTTTCAGATGATCTTTAAAATGAAATTCTCAAAAATTGGTAAAAGATATGAATTTAATCTTTGGTGTCAATATTTATCAAATCAAATCACAGCTTTCACAATGAGTACAATGTCGATTTTCTAAACAAAGTGAAAAATCAACATGCCCTACCCTGGCACAGGCCAACATTGATCCTGAGACCTGAGAAACCGTTGCTGCAAATCAGCCTTCCTGGTACAGGACAATCTGAGGCGGACTGAGTCCAACTGTCAACCTGAAGAGAATCTATGACATGCTGTCAAGAGGGCCTGACATCCACGTCCACCACCCACACTCCTCTTCAGTCGTAGGCCGGGCTTTCACTGTCATCACCACTACCACCACAGGGGAGAAAGGGAATAAGGAGAAAGGATGATAATCCTGATGATCATATTCGAATGGGTGCTAACGACAATACATTTTAACTGAATAAGATTTGCAAATGAATATTTAATTAAATTCTATCATCTGTCGATAACAACCCACATTTTGCATTTTGAACTTACTGACTTGCATGTTTTCATTGTTTGCAATTCATTCATTGTCACGTTTTTTTTTCTTCCAAATTTTTGTGTAGAGTTTTGTCAGCTCTTGCTCATTGGTCACCCATTTTGGCAGAGACAAAGTACCTTCCAAATATAGTCTTCCCATTCCTGAAACTCTTTCACCAGAATCACCTATGCTGTTTTGAGATGGCGGCCAGTGTTATTTGTAAGTTTTTTTCGTTTCTTATCTTTTGGGGAGGGGGAATATCATTACTAGAGGGTTAACTAATTATTGGAATGGTGTAGATAAAAGGCAGTGAAGATTCATCAAAGCTTTTTCAAATCTAACAAAAGACAGAGTGTGGTTTAAATGTCATTTTTCAATATATTGCTCAGATTTTCAAATTCTTCAGAGTTTCTCTTAGAAAAGGATTTCCTTTACTTAGAAATCTAATTATTTTATTACTAGTTTTATTCCATCTTATTATCGTTGTTTTTTATCCTAACTGTCTGGCTCCATACACTCTTCATTATTACTATTATTTTATTACTAGTTTTATTCCATCTTATTATTGTTACTTTTTATCCCGACACTCTGGCTCTATACACTCTTCATTATTACTATTATTTTATTACTAGTTTTATTTGATCTTATTATTGTTACTTTTTATCCCGACACTCTGGCTCTATACACTCTTCATTATTACTATTATTTTATTACTAGTTTTATTCCATCTTAGCTTTTATTGCTTGCAACCTTCTTCAGGTGCTTGTCAATCCAGGTAACCTTTTGAAACTGGAATTTTAAATTAATCAGGTGGTGATAGATTTTTGTCTTTCTGCTCTCCATGTCTAGGGATATTTTCTTTAATTGTTCGAATGGTAACAGAGCATTACTAAAAGCACATTCCAGATGATATAACCTTAGACACAAAAAACGGAATGAGAATGATCTATCCCTGAATAAAGTGTTCTGTTCCAAATTCTCCAAAGGTTACCCGGATTGATAGATCCTTGTGGAAAGTTGTAGTACCTGAAGAGTAAATCATTGTGATTGTATCAAGAAAGACATTAGTCTGACTGTAAATAATGAAAATGAACAGCAATATGTCAGATATTATCCTATAGATATTTCAAAAGAGTATTACAATAGCAAAGCTCCCTTTGTTCTGTTCATTCAGAACAAGGAAACCTGTATCTCGCAGCAAGGCCTTTGATCAGGAGATTGGAGGTTTTGAGGAGCATGGAATTACGTCTTAACCATTATCACATTGGAGGTGAAAATTGTCGCTGTAGAATTATCTCCCTTTGCATTTGTAGGGACATACTGTCACCTTAAGGCGGTTACTATAAATAACCACTTGTCAACTGTTGTTTCTCGTATTTTAAGCTGGAAATCACCTACTACTGTTTTGGAACAAACTTTGTTTCCTGATGCCATTTTGAATTCTTCTAGACTCCACATGGGGTGTAATATCGATTAAAGCTGTGTTAATTTTTTCACGATTTTTTTGTGTATAAAAATGTCCGCATCAACATCCAACAAAGCCTTCATTCAGGAGTTTTTGTTTGATTTGGACTCTGATGATAATTTGAAGGCTTTACCCGAGTCGATATTGATGGTGAAGTGGTTGAAGATGATAACTGCACTAGTGATGTGGAGAAAAGCGATGATGACCACTAGTGGCTACTATCATCTATTGCTGACTAATTTTATGGAAGCTACTGGTGACCATCAATGTACCTGATAGCCTTTCTGAAGGGGATTATTATGTGTGGGGTGCAGTTGAGATTCCAAAGTCACCTGGAGACTGTGGTGGAAGCCAATGGCTATTTTATCAAATAAATTTACTCTTTAGTATTTCAACATATTTTTGTGTAATTTTGGTAAATATATCTGTTAAAAAGAGATGTCTGTATTATTTTCATTTTTGTGAGATTTAGGTGACAATTTATCCATCGTACTCTGCATATTGATCCAGGTAACTGTTATATTTCCTTGCTAAGGGAATAAATACGTAACACCAGTTGGATAATAGAAGAAAGTTTTATTGTACACAACCAGTACAATATGAAATACGGTACAGTTATACACACAAGTCAATCTAGTAGTTGACTTTATAGGTACTTACTACCTATGATGTAATCATTCATTGGGTGACTGGTTATTCCATTACATCAGTGACCTACAATGAATTTCAAACTGAACTCTTTATTTCATCCACCAGGGTAGATTGTTCTAGTTCCACGTGCCATGTCTCTTCTGGATATCTCAGTTATCTTCTTTTAACTCAAATCTCCAAGTTTTTGTTCACCACTGCAGTAGCCAGGTATTGAACTCCAACTCTTATGGGTCAAGTCACTGGATCCAGCTAACACTTTACATTGTTCATCTTTATTACAATATTTTAGGTATTGAACTCTCAACTCTTTTTCAGGTCACTGGATTATTTTAACCAACCTTTTTTATACACTGACCCAATGGTTAAAAGCATTGATGTGAGTAATCTCTCCCGTGAACAGTCCAAACAATGTAAGTTTTGTTAAATAATTATCCGAAGAATTATCTAAAAGAATAGTCTTGTTCACCACTGGATAAATAAATATCAACACAAAATTAATAAATGAGGTTTGTTTTTATCAAGAGCTTAAATTAAATTTTTCCTTTTTAATTGTTGAAAGATTGTAAATTTAACTGAAATAGTTTCAATACTTTTTTTTTATTTAAAAAAAAAAAAAAAAAAAATTTTTTTTTTACTTTTATTTTTCACATTTTTTGGTCACTAAAAAGTTTAGCATAATTTAATTTTTTTAATTTTTTTTATGAAAATTTTATTTTTTTTTTTTAGAAATTTCCTGGAATGTTAATCTCTTTTGAATAAGCATATCTAGATGTGGCAATTCTAGAAGAAACAGTAAAGCAGCCCTGACTGATATGTCATCATCTTCACAGATATTTGATAAAGTCCATCTGGAAAAGATTTAATTTGCAAAAGCTCACTATACACAATACAAGTTTGAAGACAAATATCTTTAATCATTCTAAGAGAATGTTGGGGTTTTGCTTGAAGAAATTCAACAAATATCTTAAAAGTCAATTGCTGTGTCTTGTGTCAAGATGATTTGTTCACTGTGTCATGCCAAATAATTTTTCTTGTCAGAATCCATCCTGCCTATTTCTAAAGCTACCATTCATCTGTGCATTGAATATTACTGCCATATCTGGTCTGGTTCTCTGGCTATATATCTTAAGATTCTCAACAAAATCCAAAGAAGGGTCTGTAATGTTATTGGTATTGACCTAGCATCTCAATTCCAATTACTTTCCCACTACTGCATATATAATATACCAAATGTGTGTGTGTGTATATATATATATATATATATATATAATTTTGTCTGTCTTTTATCATCACCAGTGTAAAAAAAAATAGTTACTTCTGTTGAACTGATGAAACTCAGTATCTGTCTTTTCCAGGATATAATTTTTAAATGAATAATGTTAAAGGAAAATCCCTGTGACATTCAAAATTGATCATGAATCACCAAATGTTGTGACAAAAACAAAAAGAAAATGTTTTGCCAGCATTCAAGACATCTACATAATAAATGCAAATGTCAGTGTGTCACATTTTCAACTTTATGCCTACAGGCCGTAGCCCAACATATCATACCATTTTGGAATCACATCGACTTTGAGCAAATTGAAAACATTCCAGGCTGGATCCAGACCAGCAATCCTGAAATTTTGGAATCCCAAGTTTTCATTACTGCAATTGTTTTTTGTGCGATTTTTTACAGGATATTTTGCGACAATTTTTTTGTTCATTAACATTTTATAACTTGGCAATAAATTTGGGATGATCAAAATTATGAAATGCAGTGAAAGTTACCTATGAAATAAAACTAATTATCTCTACAGAAAGTAAAGATCTACCTATATCAAAATGTCTATAAATTAAGTGACAGCAGAAGAATTATCATTGAACTTTTTAAAAGGTCTTAAACATTAATCTGATACTTAAATGCAGTGATCAATTTTGAGTTCTTCTAAAGTTTATTGTTGTTACTGCCTCTACTCCTCTTTATCTATTGTGATGAATCTAATTAAGATTCCTGTAAGGAGCTAAGCTTAAATGCTGCCTGACTAGATGGATTTCAATCTAGTCAAAATATAAATAGCCATGGATTCTTCCTTTCCTGAAAAAGAATTAACCCTTTCCTAAGACAAGATTTATGACTACAAAAAAATTGAAAGAAAACTGTCAAATCCATAACTTCATGTTATTCAAAACATAAATCAATCCCAATCCAAAATAATTTAAGACTAATTTAAACACACACACACACATATATATACATATATATATATATATGCACACACACACGAGGTGAAATTACCTGGTAATGGTTTTGTTTATTATGGAATTGAAATGTTATCACCAAATGTCCATGAACTTGCCTCACTTTTCTGCCAACCTAATGAATATTCATGGAGCATATCTATAGTGAAAAATTTTGAAAAACTAATAACATCTTTGGTCTTTTATATAAATACTTGTCACAAATTAAGTTCATTTACATTTGCTTTGATAAAGTCCCTCAGATGACAAAATGACCCAAAATGTCATTATCTATAGCAAGAGTGTGTTAAGGTTGGTGGGAAACAACTCTTCCAGCAACTACAGTGGCAATAGACAAATTGGGTGAAAAGATTGAACTAGAGGTAACAAAAATGTACACTGCCTTGGAAACCACAGCATCTTTAAGAACAAATATGGGACTATTATCACAAGACAGCATGTCTTGCTATTTTTTAAGTCCCCACCCAACTTTTATTGGCATGAGGCATTAAGTACAAAGACCCAGATCATGAACATTTGCAGAAAGGCCTATATCTAGACATGCCAAACTGTCCTGCTGCCAACAGGAAAAACCTGCATGTAACTGATGTTGACAAACATGCCTGCATGCAATCCAAGGCATTTTTTGCATCTGTACTAATGTGAGTTCTGTGTGAGGTAAGATGGGTTTGCCTTTTGTCTTTTTTCATTCAAGACACTCAATCTGCAAGTAAAACATTGAAAATCAGGAGAAAATAATCAAAAATAAACTGAATATGCTCAAAAATGGAGTCCTTATATAATTCAAATATCTTGTTTGATTATTTTTTAGGAGAAAATAATTTGACTGTAGAAAATGCACTGGAAAACTAGAAGAATTGGATAGTCCATGAGCCAGAATTCTTGCAAGTGTTACATAACAGAATGTCTATAGTAATAAAAGAAAGTATATATAAAGTAAAGTATATTTTATGTTTGTTTTATATATAAAATGAAAGTATATTTTATTTAATGCATAAAAAGAAAGAAATTTTAAAAATAGAATTTGTGCCAATAAAATTCACATTTATGATCAAAAAATTAATGGGTGGAATATATATTTTTTTGAAAAATTTATTTTACATTTGTAATCTGGGATGGGCAAAAAAATATCTCCCTTTTTTTTGAAAACCAAATGCAGACAAAATTTATGTCACTCTGTGAAAGAAATTTTTTTTTTAAAAAATGCTAAAAATAATTTTTGTACAAATTAAAATTCAGTTAATTTCTAACAAAAAGGATTGAAAATTTTTTAGAAAAAAAATTAGTGAAAAAACCTTCAATTAATATCCAATTTTTTTGGATACAAAAAATGTATTGATACAAATTCAATATTGGATTTCAAAATTTGAAAATAGTTAATTTTTTCTTAAAATTATCTCAATAAGTCAATGCAAGGAAATTTTTTAATTAAAAAAATATTAAGTAGAAAATATAAAATTTTTTTTCAAAAATTGAAGAAAACAGTAAATAAATAAAACATAAGTTGAGGTATCACAAAATTAGTTTTTTTTGCAAAAATGTCTCAAAATGGAGATGTATCCTTCAATTTTTGACGGCTGATATCTTCTTTATTTTCTAGTCTTTTTTTAAAATCAACAGGTAAAAGTATTTAATCTTTTTTTTTATAAAAAGAAAAAAATTCATTCTCATGTTTGATGATTAGTTTTTTATTCCACATCCCTTTAAATTATGTTTTGTTTCAATGACTGGGTCACCCTTTTCCTGCTATTTTCAAAGGGACTTAGCAGGATACGATTTACTATGAATTTCTATTGCAAACAGTGCAGACTTTAAACTCTTGAATTAACCAACAGAAATAGACCATTCATTGATTTTACTCATTTTTATAGATACAAATTAACCTGATCCAGGGTTATTTTGTTGAATAAAACTAAATTTAAGACCCTACATCTGCTTACCTTTTTTTAGCATAATACTTAAATGATTAATTTCTTTTACCCTCTTCTGAATAAACCTTGAAGAAAAAAAAAAAAAAAATATTTTTTCTTTTAATTTTTTTTTCAGTTTTTATTTATATAAATTGGACCTTTAAAAGAGTTATAACCATAGCCATAAGAATATATCAAATAGGCAACTGTCTGTATAAATCTAGGGGAAAAAAAATCTTAATATCCCATCTAAATGTCTGTAGCTCTTGTGAGCAATTTACCTTAATTTTAGTTTAATTCCATTTAATTAAACAAAATTAATTCTAGTTCTGAAAAACAAAATTGATGTTAAAACTTTTTAAATAAAGAATTATATTTTTTGAATATTTGGTTCAAATTGATATTTAAATTTAATTGTAATTAATTTTTATTTATTTTTTAATTAAAGTTACATATTTGAATTTATTTTATTGATAATTGATTTGTTTAAAGATCCAACCAATTCTTATTTAGATTTAATTTACTTAAAAAATGCCATTTTGAGTTTGTTCTGTTTTTTGGATGAAGATTGACAATATAAGGATAAGTTTGTTGTCATTTTTTTGAAACAATTTTCCTCTAGCACAGGGGTCGGCAACTCATTCGACCCTGCGGGCTAGATCATGTTATAATGACAGGTCGGGCCAGACTAAGGCCATTAATGAAAAATTAAGGAAAATTACATATGCAGACCCCTGTCAACCTAAATATTTAAAATCATAATGAAAATAAACATTGAGAAATCAGAAAAACAAAAGAAAATCTAAAATTAAAAAACACCTAACAAAAATTACTTTTCCTCACAGAACGACAAAATACTTCAAAGTGAAAAAATCAACCAAAGTGAAATGGATGAAATTATGACGTGTAGGTTTGAAACTGTTATTGAAAATTGTACCACAAACGAACCACACACAAACACACACATCAAACAAAAATGAAGCACATATACCCATATATACGAGTACAATTAGTTGCAAACATATACACTTACGTACTTACACATGCAGTATCATCCACACATTCATGAGGCATGTATGTATAATGCGCGTATGTTTAAGTGTCTTTAGATTTCTGCTACCTCGCATGTCAGTCTCTCCCTGGCCTCTTTCACTTTATCGTTCCTTTCGTTTCTGTTATCTTTTAATGTAGCCAAGGGTCATAACAAATATGTATCCTTTTATCTGACATTAAACGTAGGCAACGCAACTTGATAAAATAAGTCTCATGAAAGATAACTGGCTGATAGTCTAATATTTTTAGTGCACTGAGATGTGTAGTCATTCTATGGAAAATGATATAACAAATTTCATTTGAAGGTCGTCTCTGTTTAAAATAGAGTTCTAAATTTTGCTACACAAATACTTAATTTGAGGTTGAACTTTAGATAAATACACACGGATTTCATTCTCAGTTGAGAGGAGATGATTTCTGTCATTGCTCTTGATACTTGTTAAATAAGAAAAGGCTTGCTCACATATGTAAGACGTTGAAAACTGCAACAATATATTAATTAAATGAAATTAAATAAAAAGTCAAAAGTACATTAGCTTATCTCAGCTGTTCTTGTAGAACCCTTGGGGACTTTTTGTGAAACCTTAGGGTTCTGGGAATCCCCAATTGAGAAATGCTGGTCTACACATAGATGATCAATGTAACTTTATATACACTGCTTCCAAGATTCATAAGTGTTTGGCTGACCGTGCTCTGCATAAAATGGTAAATGCTGTATCCGTGTACTTGACAGCATGTCCTGGGTTATTTGTAAATGCTGCCATTTGAGTCAAGAATGTGCTGCTGTTTGCAACACCTTGTCAGATATTGGAAGGCACGTGTTATCTAATCTGTGTCTCAAGGTGTTGATTGTTTCGACCTATAGTCAGCTTCACACTGACATTTAGATTTATGAACAACAAAACCACACACAAATACCCACACACATGTATATATATATATATATATATATATATATATATATATATATATATTTCTTCAGCGCAGGTATGCAGAAAATAGAAAAGAACTTCGTTGGGTGCATAATCCGGGGTTCCTTTGTATTTTTTGTTTTTATTTTAAGACAGTGCTCCATACAGAAGAAGTAGAGCTTTATTACAATAATATTTTTTTTTTAAAAATATGATTCCTTCGCTACATAAGAGTTCTCATGTTTCAAAAACGAGAGTCGAAACCATCCAAATAATTATTAAAATTAAGTTGAATTGAGGTGTTTAGTCCCGTTTCATCTTCGTCAAAAAACAAAAAAATCAAATTGAAATTCAGTGCAATATGATCTGTATATAAAACACCCACTTGAATAAACAAATAAATAAATAGATAATCAGATGGACAATAATAAAAGACAATTCTTCCAACACATAACAACTTGTAGGCGCACCATAAAAATATCCCTCACTCGGAACCAACTAAAGGGTGACTGCAAACATTAGCCTTGAAATAGATACCCTACCCAACCTTAGCAAAACCTCTCAGAAGATGATGAATCTATTGATAAGAATTAACTCTCTGACCACTTACGAAGAAAAATAGTCTAGCCACTCTAACAATAACGAATTTTGTAACGGACCATGCCTAAAAACGCATGTAAACCAAGAGATAGCTTATTCCTAAAATTTTGCTTGAAGATGAAACAGGACTAAACACCTCAATTCAACTTAATTTGCTGAATTCAATAAAGTTAAACCTGCTACAATACAAAGATATCCTGTGCACCTGTGCCCTCCTTGGCTAGTAATATCAGTGATAGATATGCTAGGCAGGTTCCTGTAGCAGTTAAACATTGTTACTTTGCTAATAACACATGTGTAGTTTTTTCTGTCAAGCCTGTCCTTCCGTCTATACACAAGGACGTTCTTCCTCCACATCATAATAGTTCTTTAATTTATTCCTTTAAATGTAGTTGTGGCTCAAACTACATAGGGAGAATGACTCAAAGGCTGGATGTCAGAATAAAGCAACACATTCCAATGAAAATCCGCAATCCCAAGTACACTTCTTCAGACATTCTAACCAATAGGTATGAGTCTTTCATTGCAGAGCACCTAATAAATAGACATAATTATGCCACTAATTTCACTGTGGACTCATTTACTATTCTTAGCAAGTCCCACTTGAATTACCACTTGAAGGCTATTTATATTTTATCTTTGAAACTTTCTCTGTGTAAACAGAAAGATTTCGTACTGGGCCTCCAACTAATTTCCATCTAAGCAATATTTTTTTTTCCCCTCCCAATATATATTGTCCATCTTTTTAGTGATAATTATAATTTATTAACCTTGATTCAGAAAATTTTGTACCACAAATCATATCTTTAAATATAGTAACTGCTATCAACAATGATTTCAATTTTAAAAATATTATAATTTTCCATATTGTTTTTTTCTTCTCTTCTAGATTTATGCCTGGCCGCTTCTTGAGAGTCTTTTCACTGAAGTGCTCACAAAAAATGAATGGTTGTGCATGTGGGACCATGTACTTAGCAATCATCCATCGTTTCTCTTGCTCCTTGTGGCTGCATATATCTTGAAGGCCCGTTCACCATTGCTCAAGTGTGTCGAATTAGAAGATTTCAAGGTAAAGGAAAAGGGTTGAAATAAATATTGATTTTTTTTCCTCTCTTTCTTTTCTTCAATATATGGCTTTACATACATGTTTTAAGTTTTTAGAAATAAACAAATGTTTGTTTCAGGCAAAAAATATCCACAAACATGGAAATTAGCATTTCTACATGTAATAACCCTCTTCTAGCAGTAATGTTTGCATTTATTCCTGACCACTGACAATCCCTTTCTTCTGCATTTTCAATGCATTCCTATAGTAAAATCAGTAGCAATGCATTTACATTATACATATAATGGTCTTATTCTATCAGTAATGCTTGTCTTCATTTCTGACCACTGACAATCCCTTTCTTCTGCATTTTCAATGCATTCCTATAGTAAAATCAGTAGCAATGCATTTCCATTATACATATAATAGCCCTATTCTATCATTAATGCTTGCCTTCATTCCTGACCACTGACAATCCCTTTCTTTCTCATTTTCAATGCATTCTTATAGTAAAATCATTAGCAATCCATTTCTATTATACATATAATAGCCCTATTCTATCAGTAATGCTTGTCTTCATTCCTGACCACTGACAATCCCTTACTTCCTCATTTTCAATGCTTTCCTATAGTAAAATCATTAGCAATGCATTTCCACTATATATATAATGGCCCTATTCTATCAGTGCTTGCTTTAATTCTAGACAACTTCCATCCCTTTCTTCCCCATTTTCAGTGTATTTTACTAGATGAAATTATTTGATACACTAGTATAGACAACAAAATATGTTGATTTAATAAAGGGTTTGTTTTAAACTTTATGGAAGGATACAACAGTCAAAACATTGTGATAACAACAACAAAAATGAGCATCATAATTTGAACAAATCCCTGTATAATAATTGCTCTCATCTTTAAAATTTTGGTATTCCTTAAATGTGCGTTTCATCTGCTCTCTGTAAATAACGTTTGTCTCTTTTCAGTATTACTTCAGCCACCAAAATGCTGTTAATGTGCAAAAAGTGATAAAAACTGCATATCACTTGATGGAAACGACTGACGAAGACATCCATCCACGGAGATTACTCGAAGGTTTTGTCCCACTCACCAAGGGCCAATATCCAGTGTTTAACAAATATCCAAAATTCATTGTCGATTATCAGGTAAGCATTTCTGTCAGATAAAACTAAAAAAAATAAAATAAAAGTAATAAAAATAAAAACTGAGAAATGAATTTCCGTCCTGGGTAAGACGATAACCTACAGCGACATCCTGGGTAAGACGATAAACTATATCCAACGGCAAGCCTCTGATCAGGAGGTGTTGAGGAGCATGGAACCACCTCTTAATTACTGGTGCTCCCAAGTCCACCCTGACCCAGGGTGGTAGCACCTGTTAGGGTCCCAGCTATGGGCAAGTAGTTGACATCCAAACTGGAGTCAAAACACTATGAAAGTGTAAAAATAGATTTTAATAACAGAAATATATTTTTGTAAAAGCTTATTGCCAGCAATGAATTTTTGAAGAAAAAAATTATTACCTGCAATACATTCTGAAAAAAATATTACCAGCAATAAAAATCTTGTCGACATTAAATAACCCATTGAGGTGTTGATATGCCATAAAACAAACCAAAGCAAAGAAATGATTTTAATATATAATCTACACAGTTGATTAAAAACTACTTTTGTTTTTGTTTTCTCATATCAATGTAAAAATCTCTGACCAACCATTCAAAACATCACCCATAGAAAGTTTATACGCTGAAGCCCATGAGGAAGTGTTAAAATTGAGATGAGAAAACTGTCACTACAATATTATTTAAAACTCAAATCCTGCCTAACTAAACCTGCCTACCATTGTACCTTTAACCCTAAATACAAAAATCTATTTGATATAAAAGAAAAGTCAATAAAAACTTTTGGACTATGAATGAAAACCATCATAGATGAATTGACCACCAAAGTGCAATTGAACCTACAATACATACACAAGAGCATCATTTCAAAGACACCACCTTGGCTACTAATACAACCAAATATGATACCGGAACTTACCAAACTCTTAATTTACCAATCCATTAAATTACCAAGAGAAAATAGAAATTATTAAAAAAATCTATACCCAGATCACTCACGCTTATATATAGATGGATCTAAAAGCGGAGATAAAATTGGCTATGTAGCCATGTGGAACAGCATTAATGCCATGAAATGACTACCAGATGTGTCTTCAATCTACAGTGTAGATATTCTGGCTATAGATCCAGCACTAAAAATGATTTTAAGATCTCAAACAAACAAGAGTGTTTATTATCTTTTCGGATTCTAAATCCACACTTATATCAATTCAGAATAAAAAAACAAGAATCCACACAAAATTAAATTTATGATTAGGTTATATGTCCTCTCCAACAACAAAGAAATTTTATTGCATACTAAATCACATTGGCATTCAGGGAAACAAAAAGGCTAACAAAGCAGTAAAGAAGTCACTAAATATGGAAGTATCAAATGCAAAAATCCCATACGATGATCTCTGACCAATCATTAATAAGATTATTAAAGAAAAATGGCAACAGTTATGGAATGACTGTCATAATAAGAAACTCCACAATATTCAGCCAATCATCATCTGAATGTTTCTCTGGCTATCAAAAGATAAGAAGAGAGAAGATGGTTCTCACCAGAGTCTGTATTGGACATTCACATATTACACACACAGGCATTTATTAAGACATGAAATTCCACCAATGTGTTTACCATGTCAGGTCAAAAAATAGCAGAATAAATCTTTTATATTGATTGTATATTTGAAGAAGGCTGTAGAATTGGTCCACCAGATTGTTATATTTACAAACCAAAACAATGAGATTGACAGTTCAAACCAACTCTTGGAATGATAATTAGTTTCTCAAAATAGCAGAATAAATCTTTTATATTGATCGTATACCTGAAGAAGGCTGTAGAATTGGTTCGCCAGACTCATATTTACAAACCAAAACAATAAGATTGACAGTTCAAACAACTCTTGGAATGATAATTAATTTCTCAAAATAGCAGAATAAATCTTTTATCTAGATTGTATATCTGAAGAAGGCTGTAGAAATGATTGATTTAGAGCTAAAATAAAAAAAGGTATAGAGTTTACCAAACAACTATTTAAATACATTTCATATTTTAAAAGACTTAAGATGACAGTCAGCAAGAGGTAATGTGAAAATCATTGAAGACACAAATGTGCATGTTAAAAATCCTTGAACAATATAGACAGATACAGACCAAAACCTCTCCTAAACAGACTAAGGGTGGGTGGGGGTTGTTGTTAAAGCCGATTGTCCATAGAAGGGAAGGAGTTATTTTTGAGTTATGAAGCCACTATAGTAACTACTAGTAGTTATAATCAAAATGCAAATACTATAAACATATACATATAGAATAAATAAATATATACTTAATATAGATATATTAATCATATTAATCAAAATAACAAAAATAACAGATTTCTCACAGCTACTTTCTCATGCACACTTCTAATGTATTGTACTTTTTGTCTTTGTTTGCAATTGAAAGACCCGCCACTGCCACCAAGCAGATACTTTGAGAAGTAATTCGACTCATTCCGCTAAGCCTGCAAATTTTGAAATACATTGCTGACGATTTGAAAGTTTTTTCCCTGCAGATTTTTTTTTTATTTGGTCTGACTGACACAAAATCGGTTGGGTTTCAATCCTGGCTTGAGGCATTCGGATGTCTAGTCACACTGAAGAGCTGTGATACAGCAAAACAGTACTGTCTGCAAATGACATTGTATATATATATATATATATATATATGTATATATATATATATATATATACACACACACACACACACACACACAGGCAAACCTCTTCTAAATGGACTAATAGAGGAATGGGGTGGTCCGTTAAAGCAGATTTTCCGTAAATGGTAAGGGATTAGTTTTTAGTTATAAAACCACTATAGTAATAACCAGTAGTTATGATCATAATGTAAATACTATATATATATGTATATATGGCATAAATAAATATATACTTAATATAGATATATTAATCAAAATATCAAAAATAATAGATTTCTCACAGCTACTTTTTCACTCACGGACTAATGTGTCATACTTTATATACTGTACATCTGTCTTTGTTTACAATTGAAGACCCTCAACTGCCACCAAGTGATCACTTTAAGAACTAATATGATTCATTCCGCTAAGCCAGCAAATCTTGAAATACATCGCTGATGATTTGGGAGTTTTTTTTTTTTTTTTTTTTTTACCTGAAGATTTTGTCCATTGTATCCAAAGTCCATTGATAGGTTCTTTGTGTGTATTAGTTTTTATTTGAAAATAATTTACATTTGTATTTTTTCCTAGAAACAAGAACGAGAACGTATCCAACAAGAAGAACTCGAGTATTTACGCCAAAGGTAATATTTTTTTCCATCTTTTTTTTTTAAAAATAATTATATAATAAAATGATCAAGTTTATTTTGCTTTTTCATAAAATGGCTTTAGAAGTGTTTAGTTTCAACTGTCTTCAATTGGAATATAACATTTTAGATTTTATTTTTACAGCTGTCTTAACGGAGTACTTTTTAAACAATTTTGCCGTTTCTACAGAAATGCTCTTCTCTAAGAAATAATCCCTTTTTTTTTTTTTTTTTTTCCCCAATTTAATAACACTTCTGCACAAATACTCTTGGGAAAAGATATGAATCCACTTCTTCTTCCCACCCCAGCTATAGGTTAATTAGTAAGTATCAGTAATTCATTATTATCTCAAAAAAATTATTAAAATTTAAAAATATTTTCTGGCTTTGAATAACCTAAAAATGGTTGATAAATTTTAAAAAAACAAAATCAGTCATTGCTGTAATAAAACTGCAAACATAAGAATACAAATAAAATAAACATTTATATTACTAAAGACATTTCAATGCAAAGAAACATTATGATAAAAACATACAAGATGAAGATAACACATAAAATCCATTCTTATAAAAATTAAAATGAATATCCATTACAACATTTATTGTTGGTTTGTTAAAAGTTTAGCATTAATTAATAGTAAGTCTTATCTACACTATTTACATTATTCGGACTATTGTTGTCATATTTGTCGCCAAATTTATTACGTTTTGGTCGTTGTATGCTCCAGTCTTCTTCAGGTGGTTGGAATGTCGAACTGAACCCTTTATTTCGCTCACTGGGGTAGACTGCCATGTTTAATGGATGTCAATTATCTGTTATCTCCTGTTAATTCCCCTCTCCAAGTTCTCCACTGCCTTAACCGAGTATTGAACTCACACTCTTTGGGTCCTCATATTTTTTTCAAGTCCTGGGTATGATGATAAACTACACCTGACAGCAAGGCCTCTGATTGGGAGATAGAAAGTTTTAAGAGGTGTCAAACCACTACTGTTGTTCCCAGGTTTACCATGAGTTGAGGTGGTAGTATAAAACAAAACACTATAAAAGAAATTAAAAAAACATTTTTATATAAAATTTACATATTTAAAAAATTACCAACAATACATATTTCAAGTAAAACTAGCCAAGGTACCCAGCGTTGCCTGGGTGTACATGGCTGCAGTTGTTTAACTGCACCCCCTGTATACCCCCCCCCCGTCTAGAAATGTCTGCCTGCATCTCTGCTTGCATGCATCATCCATTTGTATACTAAGCTACTCCCTCACCTCATCTGTTTTATGGTATGTCCTTCGCAAATGTTTGACTGTTCTTAATAAAGGAATTCCATTGATAAAACCTTCTTGTGTGGTTGTTGCTCAGGATTAAATTGTTTCAATGTTTTAGATATTCAGTAAATTTTCTATGGCTTTAATAACTTTCAAATACTATGGCATTGTTTGCAAATCTAATAATCAAACAAAAACAGGGATGAACCGTCAGAGCTTGAGTCAACTGCAAATGCAAACACATGAATATGCCCTCCTTCTTCACAAGTTTACTGTAAAACTGGGGTTAATAAGAGGTTCTTCAGAAAGTTTTCCCTTTTAGTGCTTCAATAATCCTTCTCAAACAATCTTTGCATCAAAGGTTGTTCAAATGCCAATTTAGGATGGAATCATATGAAGAAACTATTGGCTAAATGGCAAAAGCCGTTTTTGGACCAAGTTGGACCTTGAGTTTTATTGATTTTTCTGTCAAACCTGGGGACTTGGAGATTGAAATGTTGATCTTGACCTAACTTGGTAAATTTTAAACATGTGTATATGCTTTCATTGAAATTGATCAACAAATGTGAACGTGCATAATACATTTTAAAACAATATGACCAGCAATATATTTTATAGTAGAATTATCAACAATGCATTTTATAGCAAAATGACCAGCAATACATTTTATCTGTAGTTGAAGGGATGCAATTGTATGAAAATATATTTAGTTGATGCCATATAATTGGGTTCAAAATATTTAGATTTTGGCATTAAATAATCCATAGAGGTGTTGATATGCCACTAAACAAAATCAATCAACATATTCTTTGACTCTTAGTAATTCCTTGCATCTTAGTGGCTTTATTTCCTTGCTTGGCATGAAATGATTTAAAAACATTACATGTTTAATAAAATCTACAGTTAATTTGTGATTTCTACCTGTAATGCATTAATGCTCACAGTACCAAATATGGACTTAATTGGTTAAGCATTTCCTTGATTTTCTCTTATTATTTCTTGTACATGTAAGCAACATTTGTTCCCTATTAATCAGTTGGTATCAGTGTGGGCATATTTGTCTGAAACTCGTTATTTTAGTTTCTTTTGGTTTTGTTTTTTTAATTCCAGGCAGCTGTCTTTGGAAATCCAGAAAGCCACTCTGCATCGGCAACAAGAGGAGGAAGCCTGGTACCGACAACAACAGCTGCTGCTTGATGCCGAGGCAAAACGACGCAAATTAATCAAAGAAGAGGAAGGGAAACTAATGATGCAACGTCAAAGGTATGTTTGTGCATGTTTAGGTAAGAGAGATATCACGTAAGGCATCATGAGGTATTATCGGCGTCACATAAGGCATCATGAGGTATCACGTAAGGCATAATGAGGCATCATGGATGTCACGTAAGGCATAATGAGGCATCATGGGCGTCGCGTAAGGCATAATAAGGCATCGCATAAGGCATAATGAGGCATCATGGGCGTTGCGTAAGGCATCACGAGGCATTGTGTAAGGCATCATGGGTGTCGCGTAAGGCATCATGAGGCATCATGGGCGTCACGTAAGTCATCGAGATATCATGAGCATCACATAAGGTATGTATGTGTGTCGTAAGGTATCATTGGTATCATGTATCGTAAGGTATCATTGGTATCGTGTATCATAAGGTATCATTGGTATTGTGTGCATTGTAAGGTATCATTTGTATCGTAACGTATCATCGATACCATGTGTATCATAAGGCATCATTGGTATCAAAGTATCATGGGTATCACATAAGATATCATCGGATATCACATAAGTTATGAGTATAAAATGAGTGTTGGGGAATTGACTCAGGTGCGTTTCACCTGTTCTGACATCGTAGAATATGGCTGGACGATCAGGAAATTGTGTTATTCTTCAGAATGATGATGCAAATTTTGGCTAATATAAATTTAGGAAAAAATTCTTTCTTCATGTCCAACATGTTTATCCACTGATGCTTGGGAGTTTTATTTTATTATATGACTTTCTTAGCACCAAAACTATCTAAAAGGAAAGAAGAGATCAAATGCTACTATTTAAGTTGACTGGTTCACTCCCAAAAAACAAGGGCGATAATTTTTGTAGATTAGTCCTCATTAGACCTGGGAAATGTTTTAACAGAAGGCAGAAAGTTCAACACTGAAATCCGAAGATACATTGGGATGACCAAAGATACCTTCCAAAATCTTAGCAGAGTATTAAGAAACAGAAAAACAGAAAAGAAAAATGTTATGTGATATCTGTCCTCCTATATGGCAGTGAAAGCTGGACAATTTTCTCAAAGATGAAGAAAAGACTTGAAGGAACAGAAATATGGTTCTTCAGAAGGATGCTGATGATACCATGAACAAGACATGTGAGCAACGACAAAGTTTTAGAGAAAAAGGAAACTTATACTTTACATCATGAAGAGACAGTTGATATTTCTAGGGAACATAACGAAGAAGGAAGGCTTGGAAAATCTGATACTCACAGGACAGATTGAAGGCAAGAGAGACAGAGGAAAACAATGCATAACCTACCTAGAGATCTTGAATATATGGATGGCGAAACAAGGTTTAGGAGAGATAACAAAAAGACAAAATTTATTAAGAGCTAGGAAATTGTGGAGAGCCATGATCACCTATGTCCTGAGCAGACACAACACCTAAAGAAAAAGACTCACATTTGTCAGAATCAAAAAATATCGATTTTTTTTTTTTTATCATTTTGAAATTGGGGTCATATTCATAATATAAATACAGTGTCAAATCAATGCCTGACTTCTAGAGTTATCTGTACTTTGTTTTTATTTACAAATGTTAATTTTGAAACTGTATCTTTGTGATTGATAACTGGGTACTACTGATTATGACAATTATGCCATGGACGAAACATGTAAACCACAAGGAAGTCTCTAGGAAAATGGAAACAGAAAGGACACTTATACTCAGAATCAGAAAGCAAGATCTGACATTTATTGCACACAAAATGAGGAAGGATAGCTTGGAAAATTTGACACACACAAGATATATTGAGAGCAAAAGAGATATGGTGAGACAGTGGGCCACCTACTCAATAAGCATGTGTAAATGAATGATGGAGCTGAGGGTGTGAGGAATGGTAATAACACAAACATTACGAAGAGCTACAAAGGATAGGAAGTTGTGGAGAGCCATTATTGCAATACAATATATCTATAAAAAATACTGATTTTTTTCTTTTTTCTTTTTTTTTTAAATTTTAAAAGTGGGGGTCTGGTCATGGTATAAAAATACAGTGTCCAAGCAATCTTTGACTTCTTAAAGAGTTATCTGTACTTTGTTTTTATTTACAAAAAATTGACACTGTATTTATATCATGAACAGAATCCCACATTTAAAATGATAAAATGCTGTGAGTAGAGGATGTTCCCATGAATGTTAATCTATAAAAAAATTATTCTCACACCACCCCACCTCCAAAATTTTCCTCGTCCTTGGTATGACGATAAACTACATTCGCGTCCTGGGTAAGACAGTAAACTACATCAGCAAGGCCTCTGATCAGGACGTTTTGAGGAGTGTGGAACCACCTCTTAATTGTTGGTGTTCCCAGGTCCACCTTGTCCCAGCTATGGATAAACGGTTAACCCCAAAACTGGGGTGAAAGCACTTATGAAAGTGTAAAAATAGGTTTTAACACCAGAAATACTTTGTAAAAAAATTATTACCAGCAATACATTCTTGGAAGAAAATATTGACAGCAATACATTTAAAAAAAAAATAACTGGCAGTAAAAATCTTGTCAGCATTAAATAACCCATTGAGGTTGATATGCCGTAAAACAAAATAAACCAAACCAATCTAAACTAAAGAATACATATTCTGTTCATATGAATCTATCCTAAAAATCTTGTCAGCATTAAATAACTCATTGAGGTTGATATGCCGTAAAACAAAATAAAGCAAACCAATCTAAACCAAAGAATACATATTCTCTTCATACGAATCTATCCTAAAAATGTTGTCGGCACTAAATAACCCATTGAGGTTGATATGCCGTAAAACAAAATAAACCAAACCAATCTAAACTAAAGAATACATATTCTGTTCATATGAATCTATCCTAAAAATCTTGTCAGCATTAAATAACCCATTGAGGTTGATATGCTGTAAAACAAACCAAAGCAAACCAATATTTTCCTTATTTTCTTTATGAGTGGACCAGATAATTTAAATAGTACTGATCAAATCAGCCTTATAAAAATTCTATTCATCTTGTGACTGAGACTGTTTCTATAAAGAATAATAGAATTAGTTTCATTATGGACTTTTGTCAGAGTCAATAATGATTATATTATAATGTTTATATTATTGATAAATAAATGTTCACGTGTGGGAGGAAATCTGTATTAGTTATTTGTACAGAAAAGTTTTTGATTTGGTTTTGAATTTTCTTGTAATTAGGCATGAAAAATGGTTGATATAATCTAAAAAGATCTATAATCAATAATCTAATAAAGAAATAATCATCCACAAACTGTTGTGCTTTTTAAGTTGTAACCATTGGATGCCAAATATTGAGGAATACATGCCAAGAATTTGTTAATGTCTTTATTTTCTTGAATCAAAGAAGCTTAAATAATCCTTGGAAATTTACCCTGCATCTGCAAGGCTAATTATTACACTGATTACAATTTATGTTTAATTATAGAGAAGGTACTTTGATATGGAAACAGTAATTTGTGTCTTTGAACGTAACCCATGAAAAAATTGCACAAAGGACTATCACAGAGAAATAATAACAAAAATAAATTTTAAAAAATTAAAACTCTCCAAATTCATCAATTTCAGAAAAGAAGAAAATCAGTAAAGCAATCTTCCTCTATGTAATGCATGCCCTCATTAAATTCTTGCACTTGTTATGAGGCCCCATCTTGCCCTACCTCTTTAAACTTATAAAATACAAAATCTAGCTTAAAATGATGACTTAAATCTATAGTTACTAGATGCTATTTTTACCTTACGAAAAGCTCCTATTCACCAAACCCTTTAGATTTCATAATAATAGAATGGAACTTTCTAGAAGTCTCTAGAAACTTCTACTGGGTTCTAGAGCCGTACAAAAAACATATAAACAGGAGTTCATACTAACTAGCCAGTTTGCCTCCTGAACCCACAGCCATGACTACTGAGGTTGACTCCGGTCTGTTTGATTCATGGACAAAGCTTTGACTGAAAGAATCTAAGTTCCGACAGTCATCAAAAAGAAAAGGCTATTGGTAAATACATTACCTTTTATTCTTTGCTATTATTGACCAAACTCCTTTATTTTATATACATGTGAAGATCTAACTATTTTTATAAGAAGAAAATAATATAATTCTTTGACTAACAACGATTTCCCATCCGTCGCCTTACTCTTAACTGTATAAGGATTTCCTCTCCCACTCCCTCATATAGCTACACGTTAAGCCAACTACTTTCTGGGCTCTTTCACGCTTAGTAGCTTGTTAGCATTTTCCAATGTATATTGTTTAAACCTCAGCCTGACAGTTTATAAAAATATTGTATTATATGTTAAATAAAACCCACTTTTCATTATTACATGTAATCTTTTCCTTCAACTTAAATTTCTAAAAATCTGTTTCATCTTATTTTTGTGTTGCGCCAGCCGTAACACACTGCTACAGGTTTCCTAGGGATGAGATTGTTAGTAGGGGTAGTGTGGGGAAAATAGAAACGGCCTACCTCGCAAACGTTCTCGCATCTTCCTGGCCTGTGGGTTGAGAAAGGAAAGAAAAGATTCAAAATGGCGTCCGTGACTTTTAATATTCACGGTCTCGTGCAGTCACATAAGAAAGTCGCGTACACACATGCTAATGAGGTGTGTCTGGGCTCCATAAAAGCGGGTTGCTTGGAGACATTGGCAGACCAACATTTCACCGTGCTTGGTGTGTACATCGTTTTGCGTTGCAGACATTTTCAGACGGAAAGAGTTGCGTCCCCTTACACTGTTTAAGTCGACTCATTTGCTACAAGCTATTTCGCAATTATTACAGCATGGACAGATTCGACTTGAAGTTAATACCAGAGTTCGACGGCTCCCCCGCTGGGCCCGCCTGTGGTCGAGTGGTGGGAAAAGGCCGAGCGGTCTGCTGGCTGTGTAAAATTAAAAGATCCCGCACTGGTTATCCCTCTTAGACTCACAAAAAGGAGCTTACGCTGTGTATCAGCAGCTAAGGGATGACGAGACTTGGAGGAAATAAACAAGCTCTATACGCAGCATTTGGTGC